GTCCAGAGGAGGGACAGTGGTTTGGACACATCCAGAGGAGAGACAGTGGTTTGGGCAAAGTTTAGATATGTCCAGAGGAGGGACAGTGGGTATACTGGTAGAAGGATGTTAGAAATGCAGCTGCTAGGAAAAAGACAAAGAGGAGACATATGGATGCAGTTAGAGAGGACATGGATGTAGTTGGAGTGAGGACAGAGATGGAGGAGGACGACTCGCTGTGGCGACCCTGAAGGAGGAACAGTTGGATGATGACTAACAAAGTTAGAATACAAACCAGAAAAAAACATTTTAAAGTCTGGTCCAGGAGGACACACCGGATGAAGCCTGACATCATCCAGTTCAGTTTTAGAGGCAGCCAGGCCGGCCTGCTGGAGCTCCACAAGACGAGCTGATTTAAAGTTTTAAAAGCACCAAAAACTATTGCTTCCACTGTGAAATTAAAAATGGATGTTTATCTTGAGCTGGCGGTGTTGGTCATGTTAAGCCCTGAGGTCTTCTAATGAATGTCTTTGACTTGATACATTCAAGACTTTTTATCGAACTTTTCAGGTAAATCAAACCGACTTTTCGACTCCGTTTTGTGGCTCTGTCACTCAGACTGGTGGTGAAGCAGTTTCAAATGGTGCCGTTTGAATTTAGTATATAGATTCGAGACAAAACGAATGAACATGTGAATGAATAGCTGGAACAGCTGTTCAAGTATCACAGACATTTAAAGCATAATGTCTTCAGTGTCTCTGGAGAGGTAAAACTCCCTCAGCTGTGCACCAGCAGTACATAAAATACAGTCCTGGTGGACTGAGAGGCTAATACTGTACATGAACAAGCAGTTTGTCACTTGAAAATAATTTATGCCCGCCAGCCGTCATGACTGCAAAGATTTACAAGGTGACTTCACTAAAAAGTGGCTGGAGTTCCTCTTGGTCCACGGTTTGGCACACGGAAAGATTAAATTCAGGGAAATGGACGCGCTTCTGTCCGCACAGTCTGAACAGTTCTCTTCGTTCCGTCGTCAGAAAGTCAGAAGCCGGTTTCAGAGATTAGTCTCGTCCCAGGTTGGGTCGTTCATGTTCTTCAGAACTCTACGGACAATCCTCTCCAGCTCTTTTCTGGCTCGCTGTTCTTCTTCCAGGGTCCTTTTCATCCTCTTGTTGTCCTGGAGAAATAAACGAGCGAACAATGACGGTGAGACAAAGAAACGTAAGTCAACTGAATTTTTGGCTGAAACCAGAGAACGCCTGTTGACAAACTATTATACAGCAATCTATAGCAAAGGTCTGGACATGCAAAGATTGTATAACATTTGATCTTGACTTGTGACCTTGAAGCTGGAGTGATGAAAATTGCAGGACACTCCACCTAGTCTTGGTACAAAATTGTACCAAGTTTCATTAAATTAGAGAGGATCAGAAGTCTTGGGCGGGACAAGCAAAAGTTTACAGACTAATACGTCCACCTTTCAACAAGTGTATAAAAAGTAACAGATACATAAATCAAACTCACCTGTTTGAGTCCCTGGACCTCATCTCTAAGACTGTACACAGTGTCCACCAGACTCCTGCAGAAAATAAATAACTTGTCTTTATTTTAACGCAGTGGAAAACTGTGAATACAGAAGCTAGGCCTCATTTGAATGACTACCGGCCAGTGGCCCTCACCCCGATAGTCGCTAAATGCTTTGAAAAACCAGTCATGACCAACATCAGAACAACCATCAACATCAATGAGGACCCTGATCAGTATGCATACCGTGAAAATTGATCAAAAGACGCCATCTTCTCTGTGGTCCACACTGCTCTCACCCACTTGGAGCAGAAGGACTCCTACGTCCGTATGCTCTTTGTGGACTTCACGTCTACCTTCAACACCATGATCCCCCCAAACCTGATGGACAAACTACTCACACCAGGACTAAGCCCCTCCATTTGCAACTGGGTCCTAGACTTTTTCTCAAATAGACCACAGTCGGTGAGGATCTACAACTTCTCCTCCTCCACCATAACCCTCAGCTCTGGCTCTCCTCAGGGATGTGTGTTGAGTCCCCTCCTGTTTACTCTGCTCACGTATGATTGTGCAGCTACCCATCCAGGCTGTCACATTGTAAAGTTTGCAGATGATACAGTGGTAGTGGGACGCATCACAAACAATGATGAGTCCAGCTGCAGGCAGGAGGTGGAACACCTGGAGAGCTGGTGCAAAGAGAATAACTTTCACGTCAATGTGAAGAAGACAAAGGAGATGGTCGTGGACTTCAGAAGGAAGAAACACACCTATACCCCCCTGAGCATAAGAGGATCTGCAGTGGAAGTGGTCTCCAGCTACAAGTACTTGGGTGTACACCTGAATGACAACCTCAGCTGGAGCAACAACACCACCAGCCTGATCAAGAAAGCTCATCAGAGACTCTACTTCCTCAGACGGCTGAGGCGAGCTGGTCTGGGAAGCTCAGTCCTCACCTCCTTCTACAGGTGTGCAGTGGAGAGCATCCTGTGCTCCAGCATCAACGTGTGGCATGGAGGCTGCACAGCTGCAGAAAGAAAAGCTTTGCAGAGAGTGGTGAAGGCTGCACAGAATGTTGGAGTCAGCCTCCCCACCATCACAGACATCTACACCTCCAGATGCAGGAAGATGGCCACCTGCATCATGAAGGACCCCACTCACCCAGCACACACACTTTTTGCCGTGCTCCCCTCAGGAAGGAGGTTGAGGAGCATTAAGTGTAGAACCACTAGACTGAGGAACAGCTTCTACCCTGAGGCTGCTAGACTCATGAATCTCTAACCAGAATAATCACTGTGAAAAATCACATCATGTTACTGCTGATCTGTTTCAATGTTGCTGCTGATCTGTTTCATGTTGCTGCTGATTTGTTTCATGTTGATGTGTTCATGCGTGCTCATCTGCTCACACAGACTCATGTTCATGCTGCTGTTCGACATAATATTTTTATTACTAGTGCTTAGTGTATTTTTACTTTAACATTTTTCTTAGTTCATATCTTAGATCTTATTACTGTTTTTCTTTTGCATTTTAATACTTTTGTTGGATGTAACTGGAACCCTGTGTACACAATTTTGTTCCACCACATGTACCACATGTGGTGTGAATGACAAATAAAGAACCTTGAATCCTTGAATTTAGGACGTAATACCGTAGCGACGATAGATGCTAACGTCAAAGACACCCCGGTGCCATGGTACGATTACGTCACGACACTTGCTGTTTTACAATCCAGGAACTTGCTGAACAGGAAGTGATTTCCCTCATTTTATCCGTCAGGCCGAACATCTGATTCATGGTGTTTGTTTTACAGTCACCAACAATAATCTGAACATAAAACACCAACCCAACGCTGATCAGAACTAACAGGGACGAAACATCCGAACACAGAACCTGAAGAAGTCCTGTCCCAAGATTACCCAGCAGCCCCTGTGGTTCACTCAACCTCTGGCGTTCATGTACAACATGTACTTTCATCTCAGACTGCAATAAAATGCATGAAAAGCTGTTGTTTTTTGCTATTGTTGAATGTAACTTGGGACCCTGTGTACATAATTTTGTTCCACCTCATGTACCACATGTGATGCGAATGACAATAAAACCTACTTGAACTTGAAGTTTTTAACACATTCAAAAAATGGACTGCATGGCCTTCTTGAAGGCTCAGAGCTTCATGTTTTCGTCCCGCCCACTCTACGCCAGCATTCTGATTGGTTAATTTTCCTGTTAGTTATTAAGCAAACTCCTCCTGCAGAGACTGAGCTCCGCCTTCTCTGCTGACCAAGAAGTCCTGACCAATGAGGAAGAAGCTTCAAACATGTTTCTGCCTGGAGACACAAATTTAAAAGAATCTGATTGGATAATAATAGTTTCATTCATTGTAAAAAAAAAAAAATCTTGTTTGCTCATCTGCAAAGTAGTTACAGGAATTAAGAGAAATTAGCCAAAAATAAGAAAATCTATATAAAAATAAATCAGTTTCTTTCGGCTGCTCCCTTTTCAGGGATCACCACAGCGAGCGAACTCGCACGAAAGGTTTGGCTATTTGTTTTACGCTGGATGCCCTTCCTGACGCAACCTGGGCTCAAACCTGCAACCTCAGCATTACAGGACCGCGGCACTGACCACCAAACTACCACAGCCCCCATCTTAAAAATAAACATTTTATACAAAACAAGTATTCAATAAAAATATAAATAGAACATTTCATATCTGCTGAACTCTTAGGCCTTCTCTGAAGGCGTAGAAGGCCCTGAGGGTTAGAACATTTTCACGAGTACAGGCATCAGACGGACACCATAGCACTGATACCGCTTTAAGGCTGCTTGACCAAGAAACGAGTTGGTTTTGTCCTGACCAGACTGTTCTTATCAGAACCTTCCACCGCGGGTCATTGTTGAGTCTGAGAAGATGCTTAACGAGCTGCTTAACGAGTGACAGCTGCCGACGCAGTTCAGAGGAAGTTAACGCTTCAAAGCGTGTTTTTTACAGCCGACTCTATGTTGTTTTTTTTAATACTGTTTATACTTTAGCATTTAGAAAAGTTTTGGGGTATGGATTAGTGCAATCATGGTGCTGAAAATTAAAGGTCATGGACATTTTTTTTTTCATTTCTTTAATGAAAATAATTTGTTCAAAATACAAACGTTCAACAAAATACACTTTGGATTACGATACATTTGCGATAAGACGTTCTATTTATTGTAAGGCAAGTAAAAACACCTTATTCGTACTCGTATAAGTACAGCAAATTGGTCAGTACTGTTTCCAATACAGTCATCTAAAAATTAATAACATTGTAATGCCGTGCTGCGTTCACTGACCTCTCCTCTACCACAGTTTGACCGTTGCTTCTGGTTTCTTCAACTATGATCTTCTCCTCCTTGGGAAACAACATCTGAACGTCCTTCCTGCTGGAGCCTGAACAAACAGTAAACAGGAAGTCGTTTGGGCAGAAAAATAAAAACTTTAACACAATTTAAAAAGCATAAACTGCAAACACAAGGTGTTTGTTTATTTTAGTTCAAAGGATCCCACTGCAGAATCAGTTCATCTGTGGGGTCCCTCAAGGGTCTATTTAAAGTCCACTGCTTTTTAATCTTTACGTGTTGCCTTTGGGGTCCATTTTTAGAAAATATAACATCCCTTTTCATTTCTTTGCTGATGATATTCTGTTTTATTTGCCCGTTAAGTCAGACAGAGTTACTCCACTGGAACCAATCCTGAACTGTCTAAATGACATTTAAGTCTGGTTACAATTAAATTTCTTGACTCTAGATTAAAATACTCTCCACTGGCTCCCTGTTCACCTCAGGGTTGATTTTAAGATTTTATTGATTGTTTTTAAAGTCTTAAAATATCTGGCTCCATTATATTTATGTGATCTTAACATCTACACTCCAGTAAGAGCGCTCTGGTCTACCAACCAGTTCCTCTTAGATGTCCTCAGATCCAAACTGAAGTCCAGAGATGATCGGGCTTTTGCGATTGCTGCTCCAAAACTGTGTAACAGTTTAGCTGATGATTTAAAGACAGTTGAGATTTTGAAATCTTTACTCAAGACTCATCTTTATTCCTTGGCATTTGATCCGTACAAAGTTTGAGAACAAGTTAGAGCTGATTTTTATTGTTGTTGTATTTCATTGTTAACTTTCTCGTTTTTCCTGACAAGATGTATTTTTGGGGGACTGGCATGCACCTATTATTCTACACCTCGGAAGTGAGTCTACATTTCTATCTCCGTTAATGTGGCCCGAACCACAATGTCTACCCCCACAAAAGTTATATCAAAACGACTGGCTCGGCCCCGTGATGCGTGCTATAACTTTTATTGGCATTTCAAGTTACCATGGCGATGTAATTTGTGAACAAAGACGCAATATTTCACCAACTCCAGGAAGTAGTTGGTGACTGCCCACTTATTATTCTACACCTGAAAAGCGTTTCTTTTTCAACTTTAATGCGACCCGAACCGCAACGTGGACCCCCACAAAAGTTATATCAAAACGACCGGCCCGGCTCCAGGAAGTGTGCAATTACTTTTATTGGCATTTGCTGTTACCATGGCGACATATTTTGTTAACAAAGATGCCAAATTTCCCATAGGAAATGAATAGGAGAAAACTCTTCAAAGAAACTGAGTAACGTATGGAGCCATTTTGGTTCAACATGCCTGGAAGGCACCTATTATTACCTATTATCACCTATTATTATTATTATTATTATTATTATTATTATTATTATTATTATTA